CAAAGTACCGACATTTGGTTAAGTGGAAATCCATTTGGAAGTCTGGAGAGTGACTTCTGCTTTTACCTGCTAAATGGACAGCCATTGTATAAATCCCTCTTTATGTACAGCACTTTATCAAGATGTCTAAAGCTTTTGCAGGGAATGTATACATCTACTATAACCCTGTCTTAAGCTTAGTGTTAAATCGAGCCCTGTTTAAGTGTGTTGTGGTTGTATGATACCGCTTTCCCTCTCACTCTCTGCCTCTGCTACCAGCGCTGACCAGAGGGAGAACGCAGGCCGACCTGTGGCAAGAAAGGCCTCCTCAACATCTGTGTTTATCCTCGAGCTCAAACCAACAGAGCTATATTTACCCCGGTCAAACATACCCAGCAGCACAGAGAGGAATCAGGAGTGTAAAGACGTAGCTTTGGACATTTAATATAGAAACCAGCTAAAACTGAATAGATCAAAACCTCATAGAAGATAGACAACTGCACGCTGGCAGCATCACGGTTTGTGATTCTCTGATTCATCCACTTCCCTGAGATGAAGATGGAGGTTGGTAAACAACACCCTTAGGGAATTTGACCTCAGCGGGAGTGAGAAGATAAAGAAGAGGCAGCCTCGATACATCAACTTCCTACCTAGCAAGTGTTTTATAGCCGCACAGTAGGCCGTAAAGCAGAGACTCATTTCAGCAAACATGGAGTGCTCTCTTCTTTCTGTAAATCTCTGACCTCTTGACACTGCCATGCGGGCTGACTTATGGATATGACCCTCACGGGAGGCAAATAGATCAAAGAGAGCGGGTTCAGGAGGAGGGGGCTGCATTACTGTTGGTGGTCTAATGCTATTTCATCTTGATATGTACACCTGCACTCTGACTAATACATGTGCATGACGCAGGTCTCCCAATTTCATATTCAACCCCCATTTGACCCTTTTATGAGGTTGTTGTCAGAGGTTCATCCCTTGAATCAAAGTAAAAAAAACACCCTCAATTTTTTCATTACTGCTGTATTTTAAGATATATTTAAACAACCCCTACCACAGATCCTCAATGTATACAGTACATCCGAATACAAATATGCTACCTCTTGTGCTCCTGTTTCAGATATGCAGCGATATCTTTCTCAGTTCAAAGAATCTCTCATCTACTACTGTGGTGCAGGTTCGCCTCTAAACCACAGAACCACAATGTTACATAATTTTCAAATAAAATGTTTCAGTTTCTCTCCGCATCCATGCTGGCTCTCGCCCACACACAGTTCTGTTTTCCATGCTTCTCTCTCTCTTTTTCAGTGGATAAAATGTGGCTTAAGTGTAAACAAATATATTTTATTTATCCAAAATCTTCAGGAGTTTTTGCAGCAATGTGGCCATATCTCGGATCTGCTTCATTTATTTGAATTAGAATACAAATCAAAGACATACAACTTAATTTCTTTTCTGTTTTGCTTGTGTTTTCAATGAACTGTGGTTCTAATTAATACCTAAAAACTTGAACTGCATTTCAATTAATAATATGATAGAATATTTGAGCTCTCTTGATTTGCCCTGTAGGTTGATAAAGAAGGTTGGGTCATCTCAAAGGTGGTGGAGGGCAATAAATAACTTTGAGGACACAGCAAACCCTTTCCCTACAGTCCATAAACGTTCTGCATTTAATACTAGCTAGGAGGAGGCTGTGACGCCTGGTGTGATGACGCGTGGTGACCCTCTCAGATTAACCGCTGACATGGGTTGAACCTGCGCGTCACAGTGTTGATTTAAAAGGAAAATAAGCGACAGCATGAGGCAGCAATAAACAAGGACAGGGAGAAATATAGCTCAATGAGAAATGAATGTCAGCGGCACAAAGTGGACGGGCCAAAACACAATTGCTGGAATCTGTTATCTCAAATTGAAGACCATGCTGCATGTTCAAAACGCACACGCATGCAGACAGACGCAAACATCATTGTGCACCTTGACATAGACCAGATGGCATAAGGTAGCAGCATTCTTCTCCCTCTCTGTTACCTGTCAGGATATACTTGATATCTGTGATATATGTTGTTTGAGATGTTGGAGTGTGTTCTTTTGTACACTGAGAGCACACAATCGTTCATTCCTATAACCTTAAAATAAAAAACTTGTCAAAAGGCTTTTCTTTCTAAATGTACAAACAGCTCAACTGCTGACAAGGTGTTACAGTTGGGGGGAAACAACAACTTTCATGCTTTTAAAAAACATTGAAACAGACACACGTGTTTTTTCATCAAACAGATGACTATAAGTGCATGTGTAAAAAATCCTTGTACAGAATGATGGAACGGTGGGGGGGGGGAATAAAAATCACACAACAGATGAGTCACTTCTGTCAAGATACAACATGGTGATTCAATGTGATGTTACAGGCTAAATAACTCAGGTGGCCCATGTTCACCTCTGTCTTTGAAGACAGGATCCTTTGTTCCCGCAGAGGTTTGCTATGAAACACAGAAAGCAGTTGCACACAATCTTAGATGGTCCTCAAGATCACAGACATAAATCCTAGTTATCTGATACCCAGAGGAGCCAACAACAGGATGACTGCTGTAGGTACCTTACAATTATGAGAAGCAGGTCCAAAAATGTGAAATGAGTCAGAAAGATATGATACAATGATGAAACAAATCAAAGTTTTTAGACAGATGTTTTGAAGCAGGCAAACGGTTCCACAATTGTGTGGTTTTTGCTAAACTAAATCTGGAAAGAATCTGAGGTATGAAGCATATTTTTAAAGTTTAAGAAAAAGTCTAGTTCTAATGTGAAACAGAAAAGGTCCAGTTGAACGAGAGAAACTGGAACTTGAAATGTACTCCTTTATGTCTTTTTGAAGAGTAAAACTTTTTCAACCAAAACTGAAAGTTCATTATTGATAGATCTGCAACATTGTTGAATGTGATTTCTTTTAAATGTCTTTCATTGACTTGAATCAAGTGAGGCAGCCTCAGGCGTTGAACCTGGAGAGTAACATGCCATTGGCTGGTAAATTGGCCTTCCTGCCACACATCCGAAACAAAAAACAACACAGAAAACAATGAATGAAGGACGAGACGGTGCATTTTTTGTTGTTGTTGCTTGCAACTTTAGAAACGAGACACTCAAATGAGAATACAAGGAATATAAAGCATACATGGATGCAATGTTATTTTAATAGCTCCATTTTTGTCGGCTCATTGACTGACAAGTGAAAATTAGTTATCCGAATAGCAGCATCACATCACATGCCTCTCTGCGGCCCATATAAACCCAGATGTAAGTAGTAAAACTATAACCCCATAAAATCATCATTTTATATGAATATGGTAAGCACAACAAAACAAGATCCACTGCTTTCTTTTTCAAGTCTCAAGCTCCAGTTGTTTTCAATATATCCAACATAAACAGCTGGCAGGGACATGCTGCTGCAGTCACTCATGTAACAAGTCATGCTGAAATACAAGCGTACTGCACTCGTTTTATGTCAACTATTTATCAAAAGAATGTTTTGCTTTGGCAGACAGGTAGAGAGTAATGAAAGAAGGCAGAAGGGGAGCATTTAAAGTGATTGTGTATGTGAAATTGTTATTAATTTGAAGCATTTTTAAATATCTCAAGACTCAAATTTCTCTCAGGGAACTTTAAACAGGGTGCATTGTGTCACTGACTTTTGCAGTCTGCTGCACAGCATTTCATCAAAGAAACTAGATTTACAATATGGAGAACCACACCTGAATTATTCAGCAGTAACTTCCCAGTTCAAAACTGTGTCGGCCGATTTCAAATCAAGGTAAACACAGGATTTCCTCACTGTACTGCAAAGGTTCGCCATTGCCATGCATGCTCAACACTTGTGCTGCTACAGCCTGTTAAGCAGAAGGATAACCCGGGCTACACATTAACACATCATTCCTAGATTTCCCTGTAATAATTATTCCATTAGTTCCAGATGAAAGGAAACGAGCGTAAATGAAGCCCAGAATATGTGCAGCGCTGCCATGCTCTGCAGCTCATGCACGACAGATCCATCATCCTGATCCTCGACGTGTCATTTCCTGAGGGCTGGGGGATACAGCAGCAACACGGGGGATCTCTACGAAAGGAAGACGACACACCGAGGCATCATCACCTTCCCATTCAGTACACACACACTTGCAAACGAAGGCATGTCTACAAACATTACGCACTTGCAAATCCAATGTGCAAACGTCTTATGACAGCTGTACAGAGTCTGCACCTCCAACCACATAGATGCACGATCAAATGTCATTATCGGAACATATTTAAAAAAAACATGTTGCATGAACTATCACAGAAAACAAGTTTCATTTCCAACTATTATAACACTGATGTTTAAAAAAAAGAAAAAAGAAAAGAAAAGGAAAAAAAAGGACAAACTATGCCTGTGTGTGTTGCCGGACAACCAAAACAATCCCCATGCACCTCATTCTTAAACAAATCTTCTGCCAAGGCAACTTCCGATTTGCAGCACAACTACTCGAAATTCAAAGCTCGTACAGGCTAAACTAAATGGCTAGCACTGTTCCCAAACAAAGCTCCCATTGTCTGGAACTTGTAGTCTTACCGTTTTCTCTTGGCCCCTTACAACTGCGATTAGCTCAGGTACGAAAAACTACAAATCCGAAGACTACCAAGCACTGTGAGCATGCGCATTGAGACGTTAATGATCAGGAAGGTTGTGGAATATATTGGTAGTTAACGCATTTGTGAGAGTAGCGGCGTATTTAAAGCTAATTATATATACCCTGTTGAATGACCGGAGGTCGAAGTGAAGCACTGAGACGGTGTGGACGGTTTTAGTGAGTACTCAGGCTGAAGGCTGAGCCGTAGTAAATCGCCTGCTCCCTGCATTGACTGAAGTTGGTCGGCTCGGCTCTGTTTGCATTTCTCGCCAACGTTTACTTCACTCGTCACTTTTCGGCGCTTTTTGAATCCCACACACTCTGCAACTGAAACTGTCCACGAACAAAACACCGGAAAACGCTTACCTTTCTTTTTCGTTTCCCTTGTGTTTCCAGTCTACTCTTATTCCCTTAAAAATGTCTTTCCAGTCATTTTTGGAAACACTCCTTCACCGACGGTCGGGTGCCTGTTCACTGAGCGAGACGTCGTTAAGAATGCTCACTGAAACCACGGCGAAGCTGCGCCCGCACAATCACTGCGCATGCGCAGCTCCGGTTGGCGCAACCTACTGATAGTAACACACAGGGGGCGGCAGACTACTATCAGCCTACTGAGACTGTGGACACTAGTACACATCGTTTTAATGACCGTCTGGTAAAAGTGAGTTTCCTTTAAATATCAAAGAAACTGGAAACTGCAGCTGAGAAAAATAGTAACCAAATGACATTAGAAAAGCATTCTGTTTGTTTATTATGCTGCATGACCATCATTTCAATATGTATTGCCTACTAATTAGTCAATAGCACCGCCTTGTGGTTACTACAGTAATACATTATTTGCCTTTTAATTAGGTAGGCTATTATAGATTATCAGGTTAAAAAAAGTGAATCATTTTTCAGGACATCGTTTTCTCAATTCTCTATCAGATTCAGAGGACCTCATTGTTGGAACAATTTACCCAATCATATTAGAAACAGCACCAGCCTCAACTTATTTAAAAAACAAACCATTTATTTCCTGCTTGGCCAATTAACCCATGCGCCATCATAATCTTTCTCTGCCATAAGAGCTTATTTTCATTTTCCCCCTCTTCTTTAATTTGTCTCTTTCTTGTTTTGCTTTCTTTTACACCTTATTGAGTATGCTTTCTTGTTAGCTTTCTTGTTTTTGCTTGGACTACATTAATAGTATTTCTCTGTGTTACATGTTTCTCTTTAGGAGGGCCACTCGACAAGCCCATCTGGGTTTATTTGGCTCCTCCAGCACATTTCTTTCAAAATGTATAGTTTGTTAATTAACTAATCATTATGTACTGTCTGTTTTCCATTGATCTATTATGTTTATGTTTTTTTTTGTGCAATAAATAAAAAAATAAATAAACAGGTTAAATTAATTGTGTAATTTTACAATACAACACAAATGCTATTGTGCGATCTTTACCTTTTACCAATGGTGGAAAGAAAGCTATAGGCCTACGTTTTTTTTGTTGGTAGATATAAAACAATATTGTACAAATATATGTTGAATACTGGGCCATTCCAGGAGTAATGGGTAAATTTAAGCAGTATTTCATGTGTGCTGTATTTGCTTCACTTGGACTCCTAATACAAAAAAAGCAGTGGCAACAATTACCATACAAAGTGACAATTGATTGGGCAGTAAATAAACATACATAATACACTTTTTTTTTTTAAATCTTACATGTTCATATCATGGAGGCAAAAGTTATCACATGACACTTAACATTCATGTGTAGACTTAAAAAAAAAAAAAAAAAATCCACCCAACTATTCCACCATTAGCTGGGAGAGTGTTGACAGCAGAGGAAAAACAAAAGGAAGAAACCTTAAGAAGTAGCTGCTGGAGTGCAGATGCAGAGACCTCTACAATGACCAGTTAGTAAAAATTCAATACAGTGTATCTAAGTGAGTATAGATGAGAATGAAAATAGTAAACTATGTTCACATTGCACTAAGGTGAATGTAAGTTTCTTAGCACTGTCACTTTCTGAGAATGAACACAGCCATTGAACCACCAAATGCATGTGTTACACTTTTTTTCACACCAGGGGTCAGCGTTGCATAAACCTTGTATTACCTGAATTACCTTTTGATGGCTTTTATTTTGAAACACATTGTAATTCTTTCACCATATTATGTTTATAGGTGAAATAACAATTATTGTTATTATATTAACACAGTTATCAGTGTGTGTCATGTCATTTTGTCTCAGTAAATCAAATGCAATCTAAAAACATCATATCATTCACCACTTTATAATGCTTTTTGTGTAAAACCCAGGGAAATTGTTTAGCTGACTGTGCTGTATCTGGTCTTGAAAGCCAGACATCTCTTCTGTTGAATTTATTATTTTACAGAATTTACCAGTTTGGAATAAATAAAGTAGCCAACATCTATCTATCGGTCTAAAAAAAAAACATTTATGTCGTTGTTGTTCTTGTTTAGGCTGTATGATTCCGACACCGACAAATTGTCAAACATACTCAATTCCTGCTCGTAACAGGGCTGTTGCTCTGACCTTTGTCCCCTGAACGATCAGACGAGGGAAAAAGCTATACACATTACTATGTAATAGCAATAAAGAGATCACCAAATGAATGATAACCTTCATGCAACTGGAGTACAATATGGTAGCTATATCGTGGGTGACACTAATCCTTTTCCTTTTGATGGTTATGTTGCTAATTATTTACTTTCATTGGCTGCCAGAATGATGTAGGTCAGCAGGAGATCCCTCAGAAACTACATTACCCACAATGCAACCGCACATCCTCCAGCTTCGTTCCAACCAGGTTCCAAACAGTCTGTAGCGTCCTCTTCTCCGCTCTGCACGCCGATCTGCACTCACGTGATGGGAGTGAGTGCGCACAGAGCCTGCGTGCTTCGACCATCCGTATGTTGTGTAGATCGGCGACAGAGGAAGCAATAGCAGGTACGTGTGCGGACTGCACCCCCGGTGTGTTTGGATGCAAAGTCAGACCAGCAGACTGACAGTTCGCCTCTGTGTTTCGAAATGTCACTGCCCTTTTCTGGAGATAAAGCCCGTTTGAATACAACGGACCCCCGGACAGCTGGCTGAGCAGCACGAACTGGGACTCCCCGGAGCATTTGTCGACAAATTGGGTTACTGACCTGGATGGTCCCTCTTCTTACTTGGATGAAACCACACGCCCAAGCAAGCGACGGTGTCTGTGGATGTTGCTGCCTTCAGTGTCCAGGTTAGGTTACAGTATGCAATAATAGTACGTATTTAAAGCTGTTCGAGCAAGGAGACGAAAGCATGGGACTGGAAACCTACAAAATTGTACGGGCTTAAAAAATAACCGTAGCCTATATTATTATTATAATTATTATTATTCATATCATTATTCTTATTATTACGTTTATTACTGTTATTATTATTAACACAGGGTACGGATCTTTTGATAAAGGAAACATGGAGACTGTGTGGATCTCTTCATCGCCTTTATTTGGCTGGACCAGAGCTACTGTAATGTTGCAATGCCTTCACGCAAACCTCCGCTGACTCTTATTTCCCACCTTGTTGCCGCCGTGTGATGGTGTCTGTCTCTTAAATAAGTCGTGGACATTTAGAAAAACTACCCTGCTAAAGTAGGATATATTTGTACCCCGCGTGCTGCAGGATAATGAGAAATGCTGGCATCCCTTTAATGTCTCCGGAGAAGAAGAGTTTCTTTTGTAACCGAGGGCTCGTCACCATCACAAATGTAGCCCAGCAGAGGCGACTGAAGCAGGCCGCTGCACAGAGACGGGGGCGGGTTTGTTGTGCTGAGAGTCTCGGCTGCTGGATGCTGAACATGGTGCCACTTTCCTGCTCTGTATTGAATACCTGCCGACCAGGCGTCGTCCTCTTTCTTTAATTCCCTCAGCTGTCTTTTTTTTTTTAAATGGACAGGGCTTTTTTGTTTGGAGGTATTCAGGGACGTTGAACCGGCTCACGAGTGGCCATGCATGTAGGATTTACTCTGGACTGGCTTGAGGGGATGTAGGGCGAATATCCAGCGGATATTTCCATACACACACACACACACACACTTCAGAGGAGGAATCAGCCCGTGTTCATGGAGATGGCAGGCGGGGGAGGTGCTTCGACGCTGGACTGGATGAGAAAAAACGAGGACCCCTGCTCAGAGGATTTCAAACACAGACTGCAGTTTTAATTCGAAGCTTAAGTAGTCCATATTTCTATCGCAAATTAATCCGTTGTGGCTTTATTATCACTTCAGTGTCTCTGTGGCTCTCGGAGTGAGGACACGGGGGTTTGAATGGGCTGATATGTGTTTATTGAGTTAGAAGATTCAAACTGAAATCATGAGCCCAGATTTACTTTAATTTTTTTTTAAATTCAGATGATCTGCTCTTACATGTAACAACAACATAGTCACTTTTTGAAGTGAGTAGGTTAAGCTTTTGTTAACTGAGAGAAAAATGAGAGTAAACATTTATGGAACGAGGAACTTTTTACACTGAAGACATCTTTCTAAATGATCGTTGGACCTGCGGCTTCTGAGACACACGTCAACATCTGGGGCAGCTTTCTATAAAACACAATTGTGGAAACAGTCAGTTGGGTTTTTGGAGGGGGGGTGGGGGGGGGGCTTCACTCAAGGATCTATATGACCTGCTGAACATTGTCCCCGAGTGAACCTGCCTTTGGGAATACATGTTACTTACACACTCTGTATCAACAGCACAGCAGCAACCGGTGACAGGATTTGGCACACTTTCAAACGGGCGATGTGGTGACAGAGGGGAGCGGTCACAGCCTCCTCTGATCCCCTCACCCACCCGCCCACTGGTGGTCGAGGACACCTCGTCTCTGTAGATGGGCCCTGTATGGATTTTGTGCTTGAGTTGACAGAGGGCAGGCCCACAGAGTCAAACAGCAGTCAGGCTGCCATGAACCCATACGGCAGAGCGAGCAGCACAGCGGCCCCCCTGTCCTGCACCAGCTGTGGGGGCTGCTGCTCTCCGCCTCCCCCTTGTCTAATCCCACCAGGGCCCCCTTCTTCTTCTACCTCCTCCATGCCTCTGAATATGACCCCTCCACCACCAATGTGTCCGGCCCCTGCCATGCAGGAGGAGAATGGAAGCAGCTGGAACTCCTCCACTATGTCTTCCTCAGACTCTCCGGACTCCCATCCTGGTCACCGCTGCAGGGGCAACAACCCCAACCCCTACTGGACGGCGGTGTTCGACTATGAGGCAACAGCAGATGAGGAGTTAACCCTGCGGCGTGGGGACCTTCTTGAGGTCCTCTCCAAAGACTCCAAAGTGTCCGGGGATGAGGGCTGGTGGACGGGGAAGATCCAGGACAAGGTGGGTATCTTTCCAAGCAACTATGTTACAAGAGGGGGCTCCGCCAACTACCAGCAGCTGACTGCAGGAGGGCTGGTGGCAGGCAGGGTTGGTGATTGCCCCTTGGAGATAGACTTCTCAGAACTGCTCCTGGCTGAAGTGATTGG